GGAAGACTTCTCATTTGACTCCATATCTCCCACGTTTACGGGCCATTGCATATTCCCAGGGAAATAAGGTGATTGGCCTTGCATCCCTGGAAACATATAAGGAGAAGCAACATTTGGATACCCATGTCCTTGGAAGTTCTGCATGTACTGAGGATAATGGTTTGGCCACGGCATTCCCATTTGAGCTCTCCCTTCTGCACATTACGGTTAATTCAGCTTTAGTTACTAACCAACAACCTCAAAAAGACAAATCCAAGAATCATCTAATGAAAAAAATCAGAATTGATGCGTCCAAGGACCTTGGGTAGTCTCAAAGCTACCCTGGCTCGAAGATTCTATGGAGATCCCGTGCTTCACGTTTGTAGTATTCAACAAATCATTCTCTTCACCAGCGAGTATGATCCCGGAGTCACCCATGAATGACAATTCAGGCCTAGGAAATGCTTGCATAGCCGTGATTTGGTCCACCCACATTCTATCTTCGTTCTTTCTCTTGCACAAGTCCACAAAGTTAACACATGCTTCCCTGGACGTAAAATAACACACAATTGATTCATAATTTTGGTACAAATGCTACCGAGCAACACGGCATAAATGGTTCAGTTACCTACCTTAAACGTGAAGCTCCAAAAGCATCGGCAAAAGANAAGAGGTCATCCATGTAATCCAATTCAAACCCAACAACCAAAGCTCGAGCGTAAGCCATGGCTTGCTCTTTGCATAAAGCCGCTTTGCGGTTCTCAAGAACACGCTGAAGACCAACCCTATTTCATTCATTTCATCGCATAACGGATCAATCAACTTCAAATTATTGGTAAACTCAACCCACAAGACGTTAAAAAACGACTGAAACTTACTTAGAATTTTCTTCGACTGTTTCTCCATCATTTTCACCTTTCGTCTAAAACATAAACAGGAGCCAAGATGAATAAATGAAACATTAAGCAATAACTCAGCTTTTGGCATCTTAAGAGATGGAGACAAAAACAAAAAAAATCACCTTTGATAAAGCCGTAGACTTCTTCTGAGAAGTCCATGAGCTGCCCAAATCGTTTCCTATATATGGACAAGATTTACACAATGTTG